GAAATGTCCCTTTGCTGACTATCGCGAGAGTAAGTGGCGGATAACCTTTTTGATCTCAAGAGGAGGCGGTTAAACTGTGATTTTGTTGACTGTCTTGTCTTAGAAACGAATTTGACTGTCCGGTGTTTGCTAGTAGAACTCTATACATGCCTGGATGTTATGAGGCTACAATGTCACAGTGATAATTTCAAAGCTAAATATTTGGTTAAAGAAGGTGTATTGTCCTTAAATGCGTAATAATTTCTATGTCATTTCTGTACTGTCAGTATGTTACATTAACGTGACGGTAGCACTGGTGCTGCAGTTTTTTGCCTGCGTTAATTGCTTGAGGTGGCAGCCTTCTTGCTCTATTGCAATTGCAGCCTGTATGGCTTGGCGTAGGTAATGGAGAGGGCCTTACCTATGTCGGTGTTCTTGCAAATAGTTGTCGCTAGTACAATGATGGAAGGCTTCCATTTCTTAATCTGAAGGACACTTAAACGTACCGCGCCAGCTCGTGGCAACTTTCAGAACGATCCCAACGACAGTTCTTTTAAGAAGGGTTCCTTGATACCATTCCCTTGTGCATTCCACTGTTTCGGCGTGTATGTGAACACATTTGGACTAACAGGGTTTACTAGAATCCCTCACTCCACCACAGAGTCGACCCGAGTAGACGTTTGATGAACAAAAACAATAGACGCTGCGCTATCGAACTTGTCAATAGTAAGAACAGAGATGCAACCATCTCCATATAAATCAGTAATGATTTATTTTTTAAGTTAGCGGGCGGACACTCGCAGTCATGTGGAAACCTTGAACTTGAAATCCTTTTCAACTTATGAACTTGTGAACATTTGTACCCCTCTGTGGGTGCGCCGGCTATGGGCCATTAAGATATGCTACTACTTCTTGATAATTGTCGCTCAATATTAAAAATATAATTCAAAAACTGTCCAATGTTGCCCACCGACCGTTTTCGGTATAATAATTATATTGATTTTACTTGATTTGTATTACGATACGATTGATTCGATGCGATCATCAATAATCTCATGAATTATGTCATCTATTTTAATGTTTTTTATTTCTTGATAAAATAAATAAGTAAATCGGCAATAACAATGTGCAATGCACATCAAATCATTGATATATTATATCATCGATTTGATAATAATCAGTATTAACGATGTTTTGACTACATGGATCTTCTGAAAAGCGTTGCACTCTTCTCTGATCATAACAAAGAAGTCTAATAGATAAATTATAGCTTATTGGCATCTTCTGACCTCATCTAATTATTTGTGTATTCTATTCCCACTCATCCTACCGCTCATCCTCCGCCGCCCCGAGCTCATTCGCCCTCTCGCCATCTCCGCCGCCGCGAAGCACAACAAGTAGCACACACCAGTGATCGCTCCGAGTGCGAGGCCGCACTGCCAAAACGCAGGCAGGGAGCACGGAGCCGCTACGAGCCGGCGCCGAAACGAGGGCACGGGGGGGCGGCACACGAACGCCGGCCGCTTCGCGGTCGACTTCCCGTAAAGCCCGCGTTCACAAACGGATCGTAACGAAAGTTGTGTCGTGAAGAACCATAAAATATTTGTCGTGCGCCAGATCTGTGAGCGTGCCGAAATGTATTTCGAGTGGTCACAAGGCTACGACACATAAAGATGGTTTGCGATGGCGGACGCGACAGTAAAAAAAGAGATGCGTGCGTTATGCGTGGTTGTGCGCACCAAGTCAGTCGTGTGACAGTCGTGAGTTGTCGGGCAGCGGGGGGCTGTTTTTACTGTGAAACAGGGTCGTGGCTCACTCGAGGGATGCCAACGTGCTCCTCGCATTGCGACTGGCCGCACAACAGTCGTGGTTCACTGTGGGTCACTCGTGGGACGCTCGCGCGTCCGTCTCCCGACTATATAAGAGCCGGTCTGTTGCCTGCCATTTGCGGCAGAGATTGCTAGTGGAAACATTGAGATTAAGTTCTGCCCGAATTTTTGACATTTGTCACTTTATTTTATTCAACTTTTTGCAAATTTAATCCAAGTTAGTATCCAGAATGCCTGTAATACGGAAAATAATAATAAGGGCAGTAATAATAATAAGTAATGAGAACTGAGAATGGGAAGGCTAAGAACAAAGCCCTTTGTTCTTAGGGAACGCACGTGGGGTAAAGGGTCAAGGGGGCGGAGTTAAAGGCCCGAACCAGCCAATAGGAAGGTGCGTGAATTAGCACGCTTGACCAGCGGTCACTCGAGCGACGTCGGCCAATGGGAGCGCAGGGACTAAGACAATGACGGCCGCGTCACTATTTAAAGCACGGTTTATGAAATTACGGTCTGTCCTACCAGTTTGCACTCGAGTCACGATACGTCACGCTATCTGTACTGTTGCTGTCACCGCTACCCACCACCTACGTTGATATGTAAGTGTATGTTGTGTCGCGTACCCTTCTGTTCACGGGACGCCTATTACAAGGGGCGTCCGCGTTACCGTAATATGTGTGTGCAGTAAAGATGCTTGTGCTTCAGAACACGTAACCTCATTGTTGATTAATTTATGTATGATGTAAGCAGCGGTTTCTCTAATACCATACGCAGACCCTAACGATCACGGGTGACACATTCATAGAAGGAAAGAGCGGTATTACATGCCTCCCAAGAAGAAAACCAACAAGAGAAAGGTGGTAAAAGTGGCTGATGTGCACCAGACAGAGGATGACGACTCGGTGACTGCCGGTGACTCTGCTGATGTCGTACCTGAGACTGAGGCTGCCGAGGCATAGGGTGCGGAGGAGGCTGCAGGCACTGGCGGTGGCGCTGTCCCCAAGAGAGCGAAGAAGGCTGCGGGCGGCAAGGCAAAGGCAAAGATCAAGAGCAAGACCCCCGACGACTACGGCGGCACTGTCATCAACATTGCCCGCCCAGATGACATCTCTGAGGAGCAGGAGTTGAAGATTGTGGCCTGGGTGGAAGATAACGAGATCATCTACAACCAGGCAACTGCAAACAGACAATTCCCTGTGTCCATATAGCGCAGGGTGATGGCCAGCTTTAGCCCAGGCTCAAGAGGGGTGCGGCAGCCTCGCCCAATATATAGAAAAAAAAAAAAAAGATTTCAGTCGTAAGCGGACGAGATTTTTAATCATAAGTCGTTATGAAATAAAAAATAGATTGGCGACTGGGCGCGGTACATTCGTGGGCAAGCCATCACCGAAATTACCCGCAGGGAATTTAAGTGGCTTATTGACTGTTCCGTAGTTTTGGTAAAGCTAGGCACAACTACGCCGAGCAATGGTTCTTGTGTTCCCTGACAGGATACACGAAAAGGAGAAGGGGGGGGGGCAAAAACATAACCCAGCATTCCAACCTCGCTCTTTGCTTCGCTTGTGCAATATAGGTGTGAACAAGTTCTGAACCAAGTGTTTTACTGTGGGCACGTAACCAGCTAATTCGCAGTAGTGAAGAGTAAAAGTTATTGTAGCTGGGCAGAGTCGAGTAGGACGTGCTTGAATGGTTAGCGTGATGGTGACTACGCCGTGTAAATAGTCAGACGAACGTAAGACTGCCAACGTATGAACGCACAATTTGGCGAGTTCATTATAAACTATTTGTGCAATAATGGGCTTATGAGAATATGAGACCGAGCGGCTATTTGAAAATACTGCTTCCAGTTCGTCCTGAATCCGGCGCTGATATACACGATTACAATTGAATATTAAGGTAGATAACATGGGGTTGCTCAACGAGCCAGATCGAGTGACCAACAAAGAAATACGACTCGATAACGACGAAAGAAACACAACGATGACGGCGTCAAGAAAAATGAAGGAGTCGGTAAACTACAAAAGAAATCAAACAGCCGCTGTCTCACGTCAAAACGAGAATGGGCCGGAAACGCAAAAATTTACATTCGCCATGTGTCCTCGCAAACAAAACGAGAGTGTTGAGACCAAATTTCGTAATTGCATGTACAGTTTGTTGTAATAGGCATCACGCAATGACCTGCAGCGTGCCTAGGACTGACCATACGTCGTGATTTATGCTATTGTTAATAATATTCACTTGAGATTTCACGTGATAAGAAATACTGCTAATACGTTTTATCGAGAACTATGCGGACACGAAGTAACAAGAGTGGCTATGGTGATGTAGGTAGTTAATCTGTATGGCACTGCAGAACCACCTCCAACAGACGTGCTGATTCTGAAAAATATCTTTAGTTTTCCTCTAGCTGCGGAGTTCTCTAGTTATGAATTCGGCTGAACAAAAATATATATAGATGTGCCATTACAAGACTACGAGATTAATTTGGTCGGATGTATTCTAATGAACGACCGTGCAGAATGCGAGGTCTCTCGATGTGACCGTTTCATGAAGCTACATGTTTTCTGAATTAAAGCAGTGTGTTAGCAGAGACCCAATCTACTCGTCTTTTGGCGCGGCCTATTCTTGATGAGACTGATGAAATTTGGATAGAGACGGCAGTGAGGCGGCCCAATTTTATATAAATTATGACACATTGTAAACTAACAGGCTTATAAGAATATAAGAATCATATCGATTCCTGTCTTTTTGTCATTTCAGACGCCAAGCCACTCCAGGAGGCGCTTAAGAAGAAGGTAACTGTTGTCTGTAAGGCAGAAAGTAAGATCTATAAATATCTGGAATGTCTTTTCATAGAAATGCAACTCAGTTGTGAAATAAAACTAAGGAAACGTGAGATTCACGGTTACGATTCTCGTATTACAAGCCATAATTTTCGATGCCAAACATCTTCCTCATTACCAAGGGGTTGCGCTACCCGTACAGAATGACAGTCCTAAAACCTGATAAACCATGTAAATTGTTTTGGTAAAATGCTGCACAGATCAGAATAGTCTATAGGCTTGCTCTTACTCACTGCACAGCTAGATCGGCTGTCATTGCCAGATGTTTATATATGCTTTTCTTGTCTCATATGATGAAACAGATACAGCCGAAACCAAGCAGGACAAAGAAAATTATGATGCTACATCGAAACACATGGCCTGTTAAATACAAGTCCGGGGCAGAGCTCATGTGGGTGGGACTAGAAAGGAAAAGTGTATGCGTGGTAGATTCTTTCACCAGTGATTGAAGACAAAGGAACTCAGCATTTTTGTCTTTTCCCACAATACATTTGCTAAAATATGGCAAGGTTTCAGATCCTAGTTTATCTTGCCATCTATGAGGTGCTATGAAGCGTGATACGAAATTACAAGATATATGTTTGTACATGGGTGAGACATTGAAACATGAATAACATGAAGTCCGTGTTTGTATGCTATGGGACAACATGGTATGGTCAGCTTATATGCCTTGTATAAGATTATTCGATAAAGTAAAGATGATATTAAATAGAATTTCAAAGTTGTACTCTAAAAGCTTGAAATATATGCTCATAGTTTTTTTACAATTACAGTTGATCATGTTTATGAGCAAACAATCTGTAATTAATTTGTTTTCCACCAGGTGGTACCGGCCGACATGCAGAGTGTTTGAGGAGCCGGTACCTAACTTATTTACTGGGAAAAAGACTATAGGTAGGTCCGGCGGTAATGCGCTGTTAATTGAGAGAGGCGTGGAACAGGCTAAATGCGAGCGTCATGCGAGCTCTGCGGTGTGGGGACGGCTTGCGATCGCCGCATATACGTGCATCGAAGGTGGCGCGGGTATAGGGCTTGAAGTGGCGGGTTGGAGGATGGGGGGGGGGGCTTGGGTTACTTCTACCCGACTCGGGCGTTGAGCAGTGGTGTCCCTCCGCGGACACGAACGGCATGCCTTGCGTTGGATCGGTTACTAACGTACGTGTTGCGACGACTCGGCGTGCAGCAGGAGACACGCGTGGCTGCCGCTCCTGAGCATGAAAACGTTCGCGTGCTCTGGTCTGTCGCGCAGTGTCTGAGCGGTGTGACCGATGTCGGTGTGACAAAATAAAGAGAGATAATCCTCTTAATGCAAAATGTATGAAGACGTGGGATTAAAAATGACAAATGATAAATAGAAAGTGTCATGGACAACGTACTCACCACAAAAAAGGACACAAATGAGTGAGTGGAAGAAGTTCAGTTTTAATTGAGCATCCATCGACGTACATTAATATGAAACGATTGCCAATCTGTATATCGCAATAATTAATTTATAAAGCCTACAACAGTAAAGTACACCAAAACCAGGAATGAATAAGTATGATTGGAGACAATCAATTCGTCTCATCTTCAACCAGGGCAGTCTGAAGGCATGTGAAGACAGAATGCATGCCTTTGAATGCTGCCTCCGAATAGTACGCACTCGACACAGCCACTAGACATTGCGTTCTTTCGGCCCATGAAGATAAAGTGGTGCCAGCTAGGTACTCACAGATTGGAACAGGAAAGAGAAGAAATCACAGACAATGCCCAAGGATGTTTTTCCAAAACAGCTGAAAAAACTACAAGAAATATTACAAGTTAATTGCAAAGAAGTGTGGTGAAATGGGTTTAGAAAAGCTGGAATATGTCCGCAATCAGCAAAGATGAACTGATTGCAAGATTACCACACCGAAGAGAGGCCAACCATCTAGTGAGCAACAGCTTTATGGCTTTTGTAACAGCAATTCGAGGAAGTACTGCTCAGGAACCAGTAAAGAGGAAGAAAATGCTGAGTCTTCAGCCAGGCAAGAGCATTTCCAGTGAAGAGGTTAAAAGAACCGCAGAAGTACCGGCAAAAGAAACAGCTGAAGGTGAACCAAAGAAAAATAAAGGCCGAAAACCACAAGAAATACCGAGCAGTGAAGATGAGCTTTCAGATCTTGATGATGAAGATGATGTGGTTGCGCAAGTAATTAATGATGATAAGACTGAACTAGCTGAACATGAGGAAGCAACTGAGGAAAGTGAAATTGAAGATGAACAAGAAGATAATGAAATAGAGTGGTTCTTCTAGCAACAGGACAAGTTCTGCGACAAAGTTTACCAAGAAAGATTTCAGAGACCAGAAAGTGGTTGTCGTTTCTCTAATGAGGGTAAACTTTCCCGGAAGAGTTGAAGAAGGTAAAGAAACTGGGGTAGTTGTGAATGCAATGCTGAAGTGCAAACAGTTAAGGTTGGAGGTGGCATAGATCAGAAAATAAACTGCTCTATCCTTTCGAAGATGTAATAGCAAAGATCAGCGGTCAATGCATTATTCTACACAATAATAGAGGAGTATTCAAAATTGAGTGTGATAGTTTATCCATGTGGAGTTAATTTGTTTTAAGTTCTAAGATTTGTTTTTAAGTTCTAAGATTGGTTTTAAGTTCTACGATTTGTTCTAAGCATCATAATGCTTAAGCTATGTTTTAAATGTTAATTTTCCTATATTTCGCATAAAAAAATGTTATAGTTCTAACATACCGATACTTTTTGTTTGATGAAATCTTGGGTCTTAAAGAACTAAGTTTTTCTAAACTCAACTCCCAGTGTCCAATGTTGGCCGGCCAATAGGCGCTCAGTTTTGACCAAGGATACGATTTCAATTGGTGTTTCAAAAGTTAACCCCACACAGGGGCAACATTGGACAAGCCATAAAAAAAAATGATAAAAAAATACTTAGCCTGTGAAGCCTTACCCCTTGAACTTGTGTAACATTGTACCATCTGTGGTGCGCCGGCTATGGGGCATTAAAAGATACGCTACTACTTTGATAATTGTGTCAATATTAAAATGTGTCTGTGTGGGTGTGTGATTTCACTGTGTACTTGCCTAAAAGCAAATGGTTTTAATTGTTACGTGAAGCAATAATTGCACATGATATTTGTATAATTGACTTCTCACTCATAAAAAAATAAACATGTGCAACAACTAAACTCTCCATATAACACCTACACATAACACTACTGCACTGCGGCAATGTAACACATGCATCGACAGTCACTGAAGCTAGCTAGATATATAGATCTTCACTGGCAGATAACAGACTTCTATGGGAATTGGCTGTGATTCATTGTGGCAGCGTGCAGAGTGATGACACAGTGGTAGTCATGTGGCGATTGACT